GCAATCCGATCCACAGTTTTGTTGGTGATAGCACTCTACACGCAGGAATTCAGTGTGGTGAGCCAATCTCTGTTGATGTGGTAGAGGAAGAAGATTACTAGCGGTTTCGAAGTAACACTGCTTGGGGACGCAACAGTCGGGTACAGCATAATGTTACCAAAACTCAGTACTGTGTCTGCACAAGGCCCAGATAAGGCTTAGCCTCAACTACTGTTCACATGCTTGGGGTGCAGCCGAATCGACTACATTGTCACACTACCGAAAATCACCCCCTGCTAGCTGAATAAGAAAGCTGTTAGAATTCACACTCAGACTAGAGGCCATCCCAAGCAAAGTTTAGGTCATAAAGGTCGAAGCGTTCGAAATCTACAGGATCGGCAGAGAATAGTCGAGGTCCCTTGCTAAGTGTATAGGAGCGAGACATAGAAACACGTTCGCTCTAATATACGTTTTTAATTTTCCATCTTGCTCGTACACATTGAATACGAACTCTGTATACGTTGTAGAAGTTCTACCATATTATTCCTTGAAAATAATTCTCAGTAGGAGCTTTGCTGCATGCCTGAGAGTAGTTCATGCAGTGATAAATAAAAGCAGGGCACTGCTATTGTTTTAATTTACCTTCACACCTCTCTCTACCTGTTTCCTCTGCCTCCACAGAATAATATTTTGCAGAAGGAAAATGTTTCGTTGATATTTAGAAGCACTTTAAAGGTGGCCGCCATGGATCATCAGATCAAATAATGAGTTACTTCACAGGCTAATCCACTTGCTCGATGAAACATACCGCTATTGAGATTATTCAGTGATATGAATAATGTCCAATAAATTACTTCTCTTCTTATAACTTTGATAGTACAGTCAGAGTAAACGAAGATTTCGATGCATTTAGGGCCGCTTAGTCGCTATTGAGAAGCAGCGTCTGAAGTACTAAAAAGTGAGTAGAAAAAATTTCGAGAAATATTGATATGCTCCAAATAGTCACATTATCCTTTCACAATCCACTAGAAGGATCAAGCAAGGGGTCACCGGGAATAACGCTTGGTTTTAGCGTCGATGGTGATACTCGTATGCAGTCTGTGTCCTGCAACATGGCGTATGAATACAACAAACAAAGGGTTTTGGAAATTAATAAAAGGCTATTGTAAGGCAAAATGTCTCCTAAATTCCGTTCCACTTTCTACGGCACTAGGCGATGAAGTATTGTGATTACAAAAATGAGATATTGTGTTTTTTAGATGTTATATCACATGTACGTACCTACATTACGAAAAACGATGTCACCCATTTCCGTCGCTCTATTTGTCTGACCGTCTGCCCGATAGTATTTGGCCCATCTCTAACTTTCGAAGTACCGCCCGGATTTCGATGTTTTCATGAAAGGTTCCTACTGTGCCAAGGTGAAAAGCCCTTTTCAGTCTTTGGAAAGTGGCAGCGGAAAAAAACAAAATCAAAATTATAGGAGGTTTTGAGTCTCTCTTATCGCATCTTTGAAAGCTTCCCAACAATCGTCATGAGAGGGACTATGGAAAGGGACAAGGATCACAATATATATATATATATATATATATATATATTTCACCTATATATATATATATATATATACAATATATAGGTGAAAGTTGAAGCTTCCGCCTTTTGTTGGGTACTTCGACAAAATTTAAGCAAGGAGGACTCTTTATACTTTTTTATTCTCTCTAGCTTTCAGTGGTCTTTGCCACCAACATCAGGAGCTGCAATTACATTAATAAAAGTAGCAACAATTGTGTAAAATGAATTTAAATTAACTTACAGTAGTATGTGAGGATGTTGCTAAATGTTGTTTACGTTAAGGATGAGGGAAACACCCATTAACATGGTGAACGCTGGATACATGGTATAATGGTCAAAATTATACAAACTACACACAGCTGTATGACAAGAACAAACTAAAAACAGATTAAAAATATTTAAAACGAAAGCTAAGCTTTGCGTGATGTTATCCTTCCTTTAAGAGACCTGGAGGTCTGACCTATGTATATTTGGTTGCAATTGTTGCAATTGATAGAGTAGACTCTGTTGGTTAAGCCAAGCAGCGGGACTCTGTCTTTCATCTTTGAAAAAATGCAGTATATAGTGAGGACGGATTTGCAAGCAATTCGATAGTTCAACAGACTGCGTAATCAGCTGAGGGGTCAGTTCCTTGATATAGGGCACCATTTTGTGCAATCATCAAGTGGCTTCACGATGTAATGCGTAACTTTCGTTTTAAATATTTTTAATCTGTTTTTAATTTGTTCTTGTCATACAGCTGGGTGTAGTTTGTATAATTTTGACCATTGTACCATGTATCCTAGCTTTCACCATGTTACTGGGTGTTTCCCTCATCCTTAACGTAAACAACATTTAGCAACATCCTCACATACTACTTTAAGTTAATTTAAATTCATTTTACACAATTGTTGCTAGTGTAATCAATGTAATTGCAGCTCCTGATGATGATGGCAAAGACCGTTGAAAGCTAGAGAGAATAAAAAAGTATAAAGAGTCCTCCTTGCTTAAATTTTGTCGAAGTGCCCAGCAAAAGGCGGAAGCCTTAGTTTTCACCTAACTGGTCTAGACGACAATGACCACCTGACAGAGTAAACCACTTTTAAGGTTCCTCTTAAATGTAGCCACAGAGAGAGAAAAATCTTTACTTTTGAATTTGTTTACCAAAAAGGCAATTTGATATGAGAGTAGATTTCTTAAATGATTCTTTATTATGTGATGGTATTGTAAGCAAATTCAAGCATTTAATGTTTAGATTATGTAAAGAAGTCAATATTTTTCAGGAAAGATGGATTCAAGAAACCTGTTGAGTGTGCGCGCGCAAAACAGAAATATGCTTTTGTTCATGAACTTGGTTCATCCAGAACTGGCCATTGACACCGATTCATTGTTTTTGGGGTGTCGAAATTGTGGAACAAACTACCTGACGTCTTTTCGTATCTCTACTCACCTTGGATAGTTCTGAGGTTGGTTTAACAAGGCATTTTTAAGCTCCTTATTGCTCCAAGTATCGGGATGCCTGTGTATTCGAGTTTCTGTTTGCGCAACAGCAGAAGTATAAAAAACAAAGCGCAATCATGGCCAGGTCCGCAATGAAGGAACAGGAGCAGAAATAGAGGAATTGGTAACCCGAGCGACGTACGTGTCTGCTTATTGGCTTTAATAGCTGCAAATCGATGTACATAGAAAACATCAACATCAAAGCATATCTGGATAGGTGTAACCTGAAGGAGAACAAGGATGAAAAGGGAAATACAACTCTAAGCCATCAACAGTATAAACGTATAATACGTAATATGTCTGCTGATTGGACTAAGACACCACCGAAGAATCGTACAATATTTTACATTGTGTGATGTCCCCTCAGTAGGAGTACACATTCAGGCGACATGATTTTTATAAATCGTCTTTACACTATAACCCACAGCTTCTCCAGTTAAGCCAAGTTGTCGCACTGTACTCCTAGTCCTTGTTATTTGAAAGTCCCATCACCTGGCTTCCGTTGTTTATTCTGTCTGTTTAACTGGTGCATATCCTGCTGGCATTTCAGCAGTTTGCATAGGTTGCCATCTAACAACGGCTTCAAAAGGACAACTGTGCACCAGCATTATACATTCTCTGTACACAAACGGCTGCAATCTACAAGATGCCAAACGTTCTTCTGCCTGATGCTTTGTTTTCCTAATGATAAGTGGTTGTGTGTTCAGGATACAACCGAATTTATATATATTTCTACGACAAGGGATTACCTGTAATAAAGTATTGGATTTTGAAGAACCATAACAATTAATAGGTTCATTTAGATATCGTAATCATATTTAGACATAATGTAACATTTGAAACTTGTGGTTTTCACATCGATAATCCTCCACGTTTGTCTGGCCAATGAACCACATGCAATTCTTCTTTAATGTATAACCTTTACGTTTCATTGCCCAGATTACATTAAGACATAACTCCATCTATTCTTCTATACAAAGTAGTCTTACCAATAAAGAATATAATCTGCTTGTTTTATCAATCGAGATTATGGGGGACATATGACTTGTTGTCGTTAGGTGTACATGTCCCAAGGTTGATTACACGAAACAGAGGACCCATAACCCTGTCAGCCATTTGACGGTTAAATTGTTAAAATTGATGCGCAGTTGCACGGCCTTTCTCGAAATACTGCTTAGCAAAGGTCAACCAACAACAAATTGAACTTTTGTTACAATACTACAGTTTGGTACCAAAACATGCCTGAGACGAAGTTACACCTGACAACAGTGTGTCTGCAGTAACATTTTAGGGATGTCACCTGGAACTAAAAATCAGTTAGTTGGCTGTCTTCTTCTTCCACACCAAGGTTTCTACGGGCAGATAAAGCAAAAAAATACATTTTAAACCAACATTTTATTCAGCTATTCATAAAATAAACAAAAAAATTAAAAATCATTTTTCTCCTAGCTTTAAATGATAATGAAGCTCTTTCATCTCAAGCTTCCAAATAAAAGTTATATCCATGTTTCCATCCTACTGTCAAAACATAACTCGCTTTTATTTGATATCTTGAGACGAGGAACCTTTTTTTCGTCATTTAAATGTTTATAATCGGAAACATTTTTGAATTTGTAGTTCATCGGATGAGTAGCACAGTGACATATACACATACACATACTTTATATATATATATATATAAAGAAAATTATCTTGCGGAGAAAGGTATATAACCGCAAAAAGGAGGAAAGTGGATTCGAGCAGAAAATAAGATAGGTAACCCGAGCGATACGTATTTCTGCTGATTGGCTTCATCAGGCCCGAACTGAATAGACATATGCAATTACAAAATAAGATACACATGCCCACACATCCGAGGATACGGGTGTAACCTAAGGAGACGAAGATGGAGAGGGAAAAAGAATGGCACACGAAGTCCACAACAAGAACCAACCTACACATTGTGGTATCGACTTATATATATATATATATATATATATATATATATATAAATGGAAGTTATAAATCTTCATCTGCGGTGGTCGCCATATTGGATTTAGAATGACGTCACTTTTCTTATTACCTTTCTCTCATAAAGCCTTTTTATTTGATACCCACATCAAATAGCTGACCAAGAAAAACGTTAATCATCATTTTGCTGCGACCGCCATATTGGACTTAGAATAACGTCACTATGCTTATCGTGTTTCTCGCATCAAACCCTTTCACATCATATCCATGTCGTTTATACTCCATTTACACTCCGATAACAAATCGTACAATTATGATTTGTCTTAAAGTACATTCTAAAATAAATAGACTTTAATTTGCGCTTTGAATTTTACAAATTTCCTAACTTTACTGATTATTGTAAGTGAATGCGACTCGTACAGTCTTCTTCAGCCTCAACCTCATAGGACACAGTTTATACGCCGCATGATGATGTCCCTTGCAATTACAACATATCGGATAGCTTTTCGGTCTATTGCAATGTTCTACAGAATGTTCCTCCCCACATCTCACGCACCTAATATTCTGCTTACACGTATTAGCTGTGTGCCAAAAGCCTTGGCACTTGTAACACTGGATGATGTTATCGGTATTATAGTGTGCTTCTTCGTTCAAGTATGTATCGTCACATGATTGAAATATGACTGAGTCATAAAAATTAATACCTTCTTCCTTGAGCTGCCGGTAACTACTGTAATTTGAGACTTCTATGTAGACTGTGGATTGCTCTCTGGTCAATTTGGTATATGAAATACCTTGCTTTCTGAGGCATGCTTTAAGTTCTTCTTTGGATATGCACCAAGGTATGTCCTTGAATGGAACAAGCTTCTTGTAATGACTGCGGTATAGTGGCACAGCTTGCACAGGTCTTCCAAAGATTTTAGCTAAGTCTACCTTCAATATTCTTTTTATCATTGCGTCATTTAATAGATTTAGAATCAGACCTTTCTCTGTTTCTATAACTCTGTCCAAATTGAGATTTGGTACAGTTACCTTAAGCGTCTCCAATGCGCTTTTATCCAGTTTTTTGAGATCACTTTTTTCAAAAAAGGTGATATAGATACACGATGAGCCTGTAAGATTTTTCTCGAACTTGTATTTCTTATTTAGTTGATTGTCACCTGGTCTTACGGATTCCTGGTCATCAGACAGAGAATTTTCGCTGTTATCTTCCACTAACATCTTTTTTGATCCATCTTCAGTGCGATACTCTGAAACCAAGAATGATCAATTAGTCCAGGAAGTACCTTAGCCCTCCGGAAAAATATTTTGATTTGTTTTTTTGCATAATCTTATTTAAAAAGGGTTCCTTTGAACGTACTTGCATGTTGCCAGACTCAAAATTTCGTCGTTAATTGTTTAAGGACTTTTTAAGGAAATTCCAAAAATTGATTTTTGCTATCGACAAAGTCTTTTTTTAACTATCTCTGACCTCTTCTGTGTTTCTCGAGTCGGTTCGAACAAACAAGTTACCATGAACTTTTTCCTAAGGTTGGTTGTTTTCGAGAGGAGCAATTTAACATTTGAAAAAGTGCATAATATGCCATACTCCACCCCGAAAAGCAATATGGATAAAGAAGAATTTGAATGTCGCCAAAGCTCCTATATGTTTTTCAAACATTCTTTTACAAAAGCATTTTATAGTTAACGTACTACTTTTGATGAATTCTGCTTGAGGTCCGAAAGAAATGCAGCTTATCGCCGTCCCTATTACTCGACTATAGAATTGGCAACCCAATAACATTTCCAGTATCCGATACATTAGGGATCGTCCACATATGGTAGCGCGCACCGCCGTTTACATCTTCAATCTTTTTCTACCCAACGGCGATAACTCAAAGAAACAAAATCCCCGCTACATTTTTCAGCCTCCGCATAAGCCATCGTCTATGGTAGGTTGCGTGTACCGCCGTTTGCATCGTCAAGCGTTGGTACATCGACGCCTACTTCATACAGGTTAGGACTTATTGGTTCTTTCCAACAATGCATTTTCGATAACCCCGAATAGATATGGCAAACTAGATCAGACCAGCTGATAGCAAGGCAACATCTTATCATTAACAAGTAATGATGACCGTATGTGGTCTGTGATAGTCAGAAATTGCTTGTTGGAAATGAGGAAAAAATTTAGTATAAGGATCGAAGAAGTAAGGTAATTTGTAGAGGGCATGAGGTACAATACATCAACAAGACTATATAATGCATAATTAGATGTGCTCACTGTGCAATTTTATCGTGATTTGGCTTGAACATTGTTAGTGTTGAGTAGACACATTTTCAAAAGACTGTTCGTACTATATTTTAAAAGTCTGATAGCTTATTTGGGGATAGTCGCACGCTTCACCATCTCCATGGCAAATTGTGTTTTTGAAGGCGCCATAGTATATTTACTTATAGTCTCACAATTTTGCGACACGACATAATAATAATATTAATAATAATAATAATAATAATTAATAATTAGGGTAGAAAAACATGAAATAACAATTTTTTGCTGGTGCAGACCCCCATGAACTTTTGTACTACGTTAAAAAAGGATCTGCAACATTCAAGATATCAAATCTATTGACAATCTCAGATTTTCTCTTTTTACTTGTGCACTTATTGGTCAAACCATTTAAGGTATTCTATTATTGACATAACAGTGCCGTTGGATCTCGTAGCTTCTTCGCTGAAGTTATTTTCCAAAGCCCTTGTTCGGACTTGAAATAGTCATCCACGTGCAGAACCTGTTTGATTCATGATGTAAACAAGCACTTGAACGATCACTGGTCACACGCAAGAAGCAGCTCTAAAAACACAGTCCGACCCTGTACTGCTAAAGCGAGCGCGAAGACAGCTCGGGTTATATTGGTGCTGACTGTGCTAGAGCCTGCGCCGCTCTGCGTTCGCGTAAAGTCCATTCGTCTGACAAGTATTTTCCAGAGTGATTTTACTGGCTCTATACACTTCCACAACTCTACGACTCTCGCTCACTAAAATAAGACCAGCGACCAGAAAGAAAGGCTTACGATAATAATAATACCCCCATCATGCTTTGACTTTGTTAATGGGAATTTCTTCATATTGCTTTTCTGGGCGGAAAATTGCATAATTTGCACTTTTCCAAATATTGTATTTATTATATCTTCTTGGAAACTACCAACCGTGGGGAAAAGCTTATAAGAACCCTTAAGACTCAAAGAACCAACAAGAAAGCCGGAAAAAATTTTGGAATTTGTTTAGAAAGATGTTCAAATAAATATTGATGCTATTTTTGGCATGGCAACGTTTAAAAGGGGTTCTTTTTGAATGAGACTATGTAAAAAATGGAAACAAAATGTTTTACATTCAAGATGAGAACATACTGCCTCGGACCCGTGTTCTACCAAATTTCTAATGCTGCAAGAAAAAATTGAAAGACTGTTGAAACATCCGATTGAGGTACTGTTGATTCCGAAATTCTTAGATTTTGATTTTTTAATATTTACGTTCATGGTTTGATGAAAGCAGTCAGCGTTTTAGTGTACTTGTAGACACCATTTAAACGTAAAATATAAAATGAACACTCTCTAGTAGCCGTATCTCGTGGTAGATTCAAGTGTTTTCAACGAAATAATGTATATTTTTGAGGTTACTACTGAAAATCAGATAAACCTTTGAACTGCAGAGCCGCACATAACCTCAAACGCAGTAGAAACTTAAACGGGAGGAAATTTTAGAATGAAAAGATCGCTGCTAAGCTTGGAAATACTTATTATACTATATATAGCATTATACGTAAGCATAATTATGTATTTTCTATCTGGATATTTACGGTACAGCTAAAGATTGGAACCTAGCACAATAACGTCAAAAAAGTGCGTAGATTGTCATCTCTATACACTTCCTACGGCAAGTCAAATCACAGAACTAAATACTTATCTCTAACGTGGCATTTTCGATGTTTTGTGGTAGCATTCTTTAGTCAAAAGAGAATCAGTTATTAAGTAACATAAATTAGAAAAGCTTGGAATTTAGAGATCAACCATACCTCAGTCGGTTCTTAAGGTACCCACAAAGTATGTTTCATCAGTTTTTTAAATCTTTCTCTTGGCAACGAAAGTTCAATAAAACCCTGGTCCAGCCACTTCACTTTTTAGTAAGTAGTAAAAATATCATCTGCAAATGCTATGAGGAGTAAAGAGAAATAAACACGACATATTTCTTACTTTGTCGATAGCTAGGCAGTCACATGGGAAATATATCTTAAGTCTTTGAAGCACTAAAGTACGTATAAGCTAAATATCTTGTCCTTACCTTAATTTATTCGTAAAAATAATTTTTTCTCCGAATTTTCGAGGTATTTTTCATATATCCTGGCTAATTTTGCAATAACAGACAATATACAAACATTGGATTATGTCAATAGACATTTTTATTCAAAATTGACTTTGACAGTCTATACCATGATAGATTTTTTGTAAATATACAGAGTCTGGCATTTCGATTGACTATCCGAAAAAACTTCAACGAACTGATCAACTTTGTGCCATAATTGAAATTACACGGTGCTCCATTCATGCGGGGATAGAATATCGCTTCCAAACAGAAAATTTCACTGATCAACAGCCAAAAAATATCCTAAATAAAATCAACAAAATATTACTATTTTTAATGTGCTAAAACCGGAATGAAACGTATTTTTTCAATATTAGTTCAAGTTTTAGAGATACGGTAATTATATGTGTTCCTGCTGTGACAGTGTTAATATACTGTAATTCACATTTTTATATTCGGCAAGGAAAGATGATATAATCGGGTTGATTGTGTTACGTTATACATACGTGTACATTATATTGTTTTATATTAGCCATTTTTTCCTCAGTTGGCTGACAGCGTTCATGCAAGATGTCTCGAAAGTGTGTAAACAATCCAGATCAGTTTTGTTACGTGTGGGTGATGTGACTTTTGCGTCTCAGAGACGGTCTATTACTCCACTAATAACAAAGGCATATCAGCTTTATTTCGGTTGTAAACTAGGTGATCAAGACAAACAGTGGGCACCCCACATCTGCTGTAATACATGTGCTTCAAGTCTGAGGAGCTGGTTAAATGGCAAAAAACGGTCTATGCGCTTTGCTGTCCCAATGGTTTGGAGAGAGCCTACAAATCATATTAATGATTGTTACTTTTGCATGGTACCTTGTGTTGGACAAGCCACAGGTATGTCCAAGAAAAAAAAATCGGTTATTAACTACCCAAACATACCATCTGCGATGAGACCTGTGCCTTACAGTGACGAAAATCCTATTCCAAAACCCCCAGAATCCTACACTTGCGAATCAAAAAACGAATCAGATCATGGCGATCGAGTGATTCGTCAGGAAGAAGATATGCCATCAATGTCAAGAGATCCTGATTTTATACCGAGCACGTCATGCCACCAACTGCACAAAATAACACAGTCAGAATTAAATGATCTTGTAAGAGATTTAGAACTTCCAAAATGTACTTGGATCAAGACTGCAGCAGAGGAACTTGTTAGAAGACGATGTTTCGGTATGTGTTTTTCGTAAATGCCACAAAGACTTAGAACCATTTTTCAATATGGAGAATAACTTGGTTTTCTGCAGTAACATTAACGGCTTACCGGCGGCTTTAAATATAAACTATAACCCAAAAGAATGGAGATTGTTTATAGACAGTTCAACATTGGGTTTAAAGGCAGTGTTATTGCATATTGGAAATATTTTACCATCTCTTCCTATAGGGTATGCAGTTCACATGAAAGAATCATATGACAATATCAAGTACCTATTGACATGCATAAAATACGATGAGCACCAATCGCATATTTGTGGCGATTTGAAAGTTGTTGCACTTTTACTTGGGCTGCAGCTAGGCTACACAAAGTTTTGTTGTTTTTTGTGTGAATGGGACAGTCGGGCAAAGGCACTTCATTAGACCAGACAAATCTGGCCTGTTCGTCAATTACTAGAGCCAGGTCAAAAAAATGTACAGCATATGCCATTAGTAGATTCGAAAAAAAATTATTACCACCACTGCATATCAAGTTGGGCCTAATGAAAAACTTTGTCAAGGCATTAGATAGAGATGGGTCAGCTTTTCAATACCTGCGTCAGAGATTTCCAAGACTAAGTGAGGCAAAGGTTAAAGAAGGTATTTTTGTTGGGCCACAGATTCGAAATATTTTGAAAGATACACAGTTTGAAAACACTTTAACAGGTATTGAAAAAACTGCTTGGAATGATTTCCGTCTGGTGGTCACTAATTTCTTGGGAAATAGAAAAGCTGACAACTATATAACCCTTGTCAAAAATATGCTGTCATCGTATCAAAAGATGGGCTGTAATATGTCTCTTAAGATACATTTCCTACACTCACACCTGGACTTTTTTCCTGACAATTGCGGAGCCGTAAGTGATGAGCACGGCGAACGTTTTCATCAGGATATTTCAACAATGGAAAAAAGGTACCAGGGAAAGTGGAATCCTTCCATGCTTGCGGACTACTGTTGGACTCTTGGTAGAGATGCTCCAGAAATGATCCATAAAAGAACAGCAAAAAGACAGCGCATATAGTGATTCTTATAAGTATATGAATTTTAATTTAATTTTAATATTTTTTTTAATATATCCTTAAAAATAAAAAGTTCTTTTTCTAAACCGCAACTAATTTTCTTATTTCATTGTCATTTTTGGATTCAGCGCCCCAAAATGAACAAAGAAGTGCACTTTTCCCACAAGATACAATTAAAAAACTAAAATTTGTTGTCTAATTTTAAAGGAAACTATGTATGGGTTTTTATACATACATTGGAACTGAGGGCATATTTAGAAATACTCATAATTTCACAGGAGGTCTCAAGTCACTATTTACACTGAATTAAGTAGGTACATTTGTATTTTAATGAGCATTTTGAAGAGCTTACAATTCTTGTGCTATAGGTGAGCAAAAACTTCATTGTATTTTAAAAGGCTGAAAGAACTTCCAAATAACTCTGGAGAAATCTTGATGAAACAAAATATCTTACCTGATTTTTGGTAGATCTCTCATTGCATTTATTAGTTTATTCGTTTGCAGGCCAAGGAATATTGTTTGCAGAAGAAATGCTTGTTGAAAATATATCTGGCTTAAGAAGCATATGTGGCCTATATTTGAATATGTAATGAAAAGGTCTGAAACTCCATGTAACTGATACATTTTCTGAGATATAAAAGAAGTAAAAAAATGAGATCTGGCAACCGAATTTGGAAAACAAGGTCTAAGGGATTATAAGATATTCTTTGTAAATCCGGAATCAGTCTCTGTGCATCAATGGCAAGGTTTTTAGCATAGAATGCAGCTGTTGTTGCACATAGTAAATGATTATCTGCGTGACAGTAAAGCTATTGTGTTTATTCTTTGCGCTAAAAGCACCGCTTCCTGAATAGAAGTGTGAACTCGACCACTTATCACATTGTAAACATTTTCAAGTGTGCAGGGTGGCTATATAGCTAGCAGCGATATAAGGAATGCTAATTATAGTCAGGACTTCTAAGAAAAGTAGTTTTAATACAGATGCTCTGCTTTTGTATTTAGAATTCTTAAATGAATTTATATTATACTGAAGTAAACCACAAATAAAAGAGGTTAAATTAGAAATTTTTAAAAATGAAGTTGACAGACTTCAAAATTCTTCGACCAACACGTGGCATTTCATGGAAATATGCAAAATTCCAAAAAATTCCAGCTGTACAAAAATAAAATGGCGAATTTCCAAAAACGATATCGAAACAGGCAATGAAATTTGTGAGTGTTTCTCTGAAATTGGTGAGAATCTGGCAAAAGGCATTTCAAATGAAGCACAACTTAATGAAAACCATATTCTAAAATTATCTGTATCAGACACCGACCGATCAATACGAAATTGAACACACAAATGGCCTGAAAGTTAAGAAATCACCTGGTTTTTATAATATACTGAGTATTTATCTTGCCATAAACAACAAGTGATAAAGTGGTCAGGTTTTTCTGTTAAGTTTTCGTGATGGCTATTTTTCAGGTCAAGGATGTTCTTCCGGATCAAAGAACTGAATAAAAGCTTGAAAGACCAGAAAGATCGTAAAAGGAAATGGAGAAAAATTGTGGCTTACACTAAGTGATTTCCATTTATTGTTATACCGCCAGCTTACTGCAAAAAGGTGACAACTCCATTTTTCTATTTTGCGTAAATTTTCACACTTGCATGTAGTTAGTGCTTAGGATGGTCTGTGACATAAGGATGAATAAATGTAGTGCAGTATTAAGATCATGAGCATGCTCCACAGAACATACAGGTAACGACTTCAACCACACCTCATATGTGAAAATCTACCAAGCGGCTTGAGCTGTAGCCTATGAAGTAGGAATTACACGTTATGCATACCAATCTAAATGAGAGTCACTCTCTGCGTGACGTCATACGCGCCAGCGGACGAAAATCGAACAGCGGAGCATCCGGCACTGCATAGTATGAAGCTTCAGGCGATTAGAGTGGGGCAAGTGCGATGTTGGTACCTGGGTACTGGTGTGCGATTTCAGTAACCACGGAGCAATGGATGGTAGAACATCGTGTACTTGCATACGACGCGTTTATCAAAAATAATGAGTAGGCGATCACTACGCAGCGGCTTTTTAGCACTCACTTTACTGTTAGTAGGCGTGGAATTGTATGATTTCAGCAAGATGGTGCGACATCACATACTGTCCGCAACCTGTTCCCAACAAAACTCATTCCACGTTTCGGAGATGTGCCGTGGCCTCCAAGGTCTCCAGATATCAGACCTGTCAATTTGCGATTTTTTTCTGTGGGAGTATTTAAAGAGTCGTGTATATGCTCACAAGCCTCGTAGTTTGGTAGGGTTGAAAAACTCAAGAAGACGTGATAGTTTTTGTAATATACAGATTGTAAACGTTATGATGATCATTATTTAAATGGGTGATAGAGGGGGTTGAAAGAAGCAAAACGTTTCATATAACATGGGGGTCAAAACGGCATTTTTTTAGAGAAAAGCGACTTTAAAGTAAAATAAAATCTGACAACGCCGCAATGCCAGACGCAAATTACGACGGAACGCAGTGTAAATAAAGATGGAGTTTGTTATTTTTGGCTCTTAGGTATTATTTCATTATTTGGTAATGTACTCGTAAAATGCAAACAATTAAAAAAACGGACTTACCACTGTCTCAGCGCTTCACCTGGTGTGTGAAAGTTTATTGAACGTATTAAAAAAATCCACTTATAAACAGGGAACACAATTTTGATACATACATTGTTTTTCTTTTTAAAACCCACACTGCACCTTTTTTGTATTTAAAGGAGGCGTTCACAATGTATTTCCTCCACTTTCCACACAAGCTTTATTACGACGAACCCAGTTTCTTCTTACTCTATTTCCTTGAAGTTGTCCATATA